GCTCAACTGCTCATGCATATTCATACAAAACGGCAGCAGGAGCAAACGAACCGTCGGGATTGCTGCCTGCAAATCAACGCGGCCACAGCCGAGTGCTCACAAGGATGTCATCGAGGACTTCCTGGCCAACGCTGTCTGCAAACAGCACTCCGCGGTCTTAGGGCCAAGCAGGCAGCTGTTGCCGTCAATTTTCGTTGCCGGAATACATGAATATGCAAAAGGGCTGCCGCGAGTCGCGAGACTCCAACTCAACTAACTCACTTGATGAGACAAAAGGTTGTGGTTTAGAGTCCTTGGCAAAAGGCAATCTATGGCCCGAAGCTGTTGCTGAGTGGCTTAGAGAGTACTACGAAGATCTTGAAAGAGCTTCCATGAAAAGTGTAGATTTTTTGTGATTTTACAAAAGTAAAAGCTTGGCTGGATTGCTTGGCCTGTTGACGCTTATCAAGAATAATCCAAACTAAAATTACTTTTCCCTTTTGCACCCATTTATTTGCATGACAAGATGCCCAGTTTATTCCGGTGGAGGATATTTTTATATTTATTGGTAATCATGAAGCCCTTGCTCCTCCAATAATATTGAAGTTTATGGTAGTTGTGCCTCCATGCACCTTGATATACATATTTGAAAGCCGGCTTTTCGATGGCATTAAAATGCATGCAGAAAAGTTATGTATGCGTGCATATAAAGTCCTGCGAGTCCTGCAGCGCCAGCGAAGGAACTTAAATACTTGTCAAGGCAAATACTTTGGTGTTGTTGCTGCTGTTGCTGCTGGGCAACGAGCAAGGAGCAACATCCTTCGGAAGTGGCAAGCAAATGTGTCTGTCAGCGTGCCAGCGTGTGTATGTGTGTGTTGTTGTGCATTATGTTGCATTTGCAATGCAAATGCTTTTGTGCTTTTTGTTGATGTCGCTACGACAACGGAGACGATGAGGCTTATGTTGCTGTTGCTTCAGTTGCTGCTGCTGAGTCTTTTATTTCTTTATTGTGGCTGCCACATTGTGCGTCTATGCAACCATAAATGGGTGTATGTGTGTGTGTATGCTCTTGCATTTGCTTTTAGCTGTTTATATTTCTAATAAAAATTGTACGTTATTTTATGCTTCGATGCACTGCACTAGGCATATTGAATAAGGGCGCACATAGGGCTGTCAGCGTGAGGAGATGTTGCCGAATATATTGTAAGTATTAATTATAAAAGAACATTTTTAATTCCGAGTTTACGTTTTTAGAAAACGTTAACCATGAAATAGATTATATTAACAGAATAATTAAATATTAAAATAAAGTATTTGAGGGATTCTAAAAATGATATGCGTAATGAGCTTACAAATATATTTCATAGAGTTCTTTTGTATTTGATTTCTAAAAAAAGTTCAAAAAGCTCTTAAAATATTTCACTTAAGGACAATGCGCTGTATTAATATGTACATTTTTTAAACTTAATAATATTTAAGGTTAGATATATAAATAATATACAATATTTATTTCCCACAAATTATCACGCTGCCAACGCCACGACAACTTTGAGCACGAAATACAAAAAACATTTTTTCTGACGAAGCCTTTGCCAGTGCGTGTGGGCGTGCCTGGGGATGTGGGAAATGGGAAAAGCCCTGCTTTTCTGGGCCAAAGCGACTGACTGGCTGATAAACACAAGCAAATACACGAATAGGCGACGGAAAATGGTTGGCGCTGCTCTCGTTTCGCCTTCCTCGCAGTTCCCGTTGCATTCCATTAACATTACAAATGTATTCATTGTTCGCAACAGGCACCAGCAATGACGCCATTATGCGAAAATGTGACAAGTGATAGAAAGGATAATGCCGCCGCCGTCGTCGTCGCCGTCGCTGCAGCATCCCTCTGAACTTTTCCCTGGGCGCCCAGCGAACACCAGTATGCAGAACTTTTCCCCATCGCCGTTGTTTTTCTTTCTATATACGCGCAAGTGGCTTTATTATTTGTTTTTCTCGCTCGCCCCGCTAATATTGTGTGTGTGTGTGTGTGTGTGTGTGTCTGGCTTACTGCAGATGCTGCAGCGGCAAGGAAACTTATTTGCGCCACTAGAAGACGTTGTAAATACCCTTTGTGGTCTTGGTTTAAAAACAAGAAGGCTAAATCTTGACTATACCAAAGCAAAAAGATCACTGCTCAAGAGTAAGTAAATTATATATTTTAAGTTTATTCTTAGACTCGTATTTTATATTATTTTAATTTGATATATTTAATTCCTTTCAATGAGTTGTGGTCTCTATTAATCTTATGACTTTGCCTAAGCTTTTACACAGCTGAGAGAATTTTCATGTTAAGCGTGAGAGTGGCAGGAAAACTAACAACAACAATCGTGAAAGGATGACAAAATCACAGAATGCCAAATTGTTTTCCTATTATTGTTGCCATTGTTGTTGCCGTCACCATCACCAGAATGGTTGTAGTTGCATTTGCCGCTGTCGTTGTACTTGTTTTTGTTGTTGTTGATGCTGTTGTTGAGCTTATCGTTATTTAAATTAGCATTACAATGCACTCACATATACCAGCACACACACACATACACGCACTGCGTGACATGGCAACCATATTGTTGCTTTGGGAATTGTTTGGTGCAACGCCGAGGAGAACAGTTTTCAAACGGCAGTGCAGAAACTAGGTTTCAGCCCTTTACAACTACCTCTTCCCCCACTTTGGGTCTCTTCTGCGCTATCCTGCGAATGTGTTGCAGCATTTAATAAATTTTTAATTAAATTCGGAATGCTGCACCAGCGATTGACAGGCAAAAAGTAAGCTCAGATTGGTTTCAACGGGCTTAGTAAAAATATATATTATATTCCATATTACTTTAAAAAAATATTAAGTGATTTTCTCGATTTTTATTTTTCTAGCAACATTTCTCTAAAACCAATCTAAGCTAATTTATTTGCCCATTCGTGTGACAAATTTTGATTCTCGACTACATCAAAGAGCGAATGGGTCTGTGCAGGATGAGTAAGCCCCGACGCGTTTGAATAAGCAATGCCTCCCGAAAAAAGAGAAACGAAAACATTTATAAATTTCACACAACAATGCCATTGAAATTGCACAAGAGATGCCAATTGATGAACACCCAGATACCCACTCACACAAACACACTTGAGTTTGCTGTACATAAAATGTGTCTAAGCAACAATTTGGCATTATCCGCCTCTGCCGGCTTTACTTCCGTTTCCGTATACTTGGCCCTAGCTCGACATGCTCCGCTGCAGAGAGGAACAATCCACTTTGATATTATGCAATCGTGCGCGGCCAAGGGAATGGGAAGATGTGTGATGCCATACAAATGCCAATACATTATTCATGTTCGAAGCCATGGCTTTCGGGTCCTGCCGCCCCGCCTGCTCGCATCCTTGTTGCTCAGACAGGTGTGCAAAATAACTGACAAATATTTTACAGGTGTCACCTTTTCACAGCTATTTGTTTGCACGAAATTTGGAATTTGCAATAATTGCCAGTTACTTATGAGGGTTACAGCTTCAGTATTGGCTCGTCAGTAGGTTCATATAATTAACTATTTATAGTTGGAAAGAGGATTAATCTTTTAGTCTTTCTAAGCTCTCAATTATATTTTCAGAAAAGATAACACACATTTAAACAAATACATGTTCAGCACAATTTTAGTTTTAACTTAAGGCTTGGGGGTTGCCGAGACCAGCTCCTGGACCTTGTGAATCAATGAACTTGATATCAGATAATTTTAAAAACATTTTTCGATTAATATTACCTGCATATCTGGATTCTGCAAAACTTCTAGCAATTGGATTATAAATTCCGGAAACAGAACAGATTTAGGTTCAAAAGGTTTCAGTGTTGGCTCCTCACGAGCAATGCGCGCGGACATGGCCACCTGAAAGCAGAGTTAGAGTGTCTGGTGAGTCCACTTCAAGCGTTCAGCATCCTCCGCCAGGACATCGGTCATCGGACTTACGGCGCACAGGGCGAAAAGGAAAAGGATCACTGCCAACTTGGCCATTTTCAGTTATTGTTTTCTGCTGGTTCTGCTCTCGCGTCAACCTGTGGACCTGGTAACGTCGACTTTAGTACTGATTGAGCGCTTGAAAAGCTGCCCATGACGACAGCTAGTTTTGCGACGCAGCCGGATCGGAGTCGTCTTATCGCCACAACTACACACACCCAAAGTCAGGCTGGATTGACCCTAGTTCTGTTTATAGGTTCGCTGTCCCCTGGATGTTAGGGCTGCTTGCTTTACGTATATGAATCTCAAAAGAGTGCTCTTTATTACACCGTTTCATGGCTTGAAGTTGGGTTACGTTTAAGTATATAGCCAGCACCGACACTAAGTGATCCCATTACGGTAGGTCTAATAAAGAGCGTTCCTATTTTGGCTGGTTATACTTCAAATCTTGCTAAACTTTTATTTTTTTTTTGTTTTACGGTTAAACTTTTACCTTATCTAATAATCTAAGATATTTTTAGTCTCGCAAAGAGCTGTTACGATTATTTGGACTGGGACGATCATTGAAAAAACGTGATGTTTATGGGATTTTAGACTTTATAGTGCTTCAAAGATTTTATAAAAAATGTTATCTTTTAAAATCGTTTATATTTCAAGTGTGGTATTTAATGTATATTCTTTTCCATATTAATCGAATAAGTGATAATTCCATTTGGTATATATTAATTTTCTAAAGGAATCAGACGAATTAAATTAATTGTGAAGAGTAACTAGAATTTTTAATGACGAGACAAAGTTTAATTTATTCTTATTTATTTAAAAAATTTTAAAAGTTTATTTAATTTTCCTTTGCAAAGGTCTTCCAGAATTTTCGGAATTTTAGCCAGAAGGTAGACAGGGCTAGCTGAGAAGTGGAAGAAGCCTGCTCCCTTGCAAGCCTTTCTTTTCAAACCCATTTCGGGGCTTAATGCTGGGGAAATTAATTAAGAAACGCCATAATACCAACTGACTTTTGTTGGCTACTAAGCCACACAGAGAGAAAACTTGTTTAGATTTAAAGTTTTATCATTTATTTGGTACTTTTGAGATGATCGATTAAATCACCATTTTACAGAGCTTTAGTTCTTCTTGTTCTTGGTCAAATCGTCAAAGGCCTTCTTGGCAGTTTCGGTGAGCTCTTTGAAGGTTCCTTCGCTATTCTTAGCAAGTTCCTGAAGGTTACCTTGGAATTCTCCGGCTGCTTGCTGGAACTGTTCGCCACCCTTCTTAAGAAGTTCCTGAGCTTTGTCCTCAAGAGTCTTCACTTGAGCCTGTTTAAGGAAAGAATTATGTGTATACAGTATTTAGTTAGACCTAGTCTTCGATTAGCCTTACCTGGGTTTTTGGGTCATTCACAAATTGTTGTGCAGCGTCTGTGATTGCCTTTAGACTGTCAAGAAGAGGCTGGAAGGCATTTGGCTCCTCACGAGTGATGCGGGCGGACATGGCCACCTGAAAGCAGAATCGGCTTAGTTCATGCTTACAGGATCCGGCCAGTCCTGCGATTGGCGGATGTTCAAACTTACCGAGCACAGGGCGAAGAGAACGAAGATCACTGCAATCTTGGCCATTTTGGGGTATTTTCTGTAACTGCTGCTAGACGGGGGAACGTCGACTTGAGTACTGACTAAGTTAAAGGCAAACTGCCCATAACGACACCTCGTTTTGCGCCGTAGACGCCCCGAATTCGAGCTCGGCAGCCTGGCTTATCAGCAGCTGCGAGGGTAGGCCGCTTAGAAACGCTTAGAAAACCGCGATAAGCTGACATTTTCCCGTCGGATTGTTCAGATCGACTGCTGTGACTTTGCTGTATTCAAAATTTGTATTTATATAAAAGTATAGTTGTGTGTATAGACAGATGCGTGTCTAACAGCTAAGCATTATCCGTAGCTAGCTAGTAGTGTTTGTCGGAAAGTACCTAAGAGATATATGTACATATATAGGGATCTTGAATATTAAATGAAGCTTTAAACATAAACACCCTTTATATATTAAATAAACTTATTTATAACTTAACAAACTGGCCATTAATTTATTTAGAATACATGTCTCTGTTTTTCTCCAATAAAAATTGTTACTATAGCTAATTAAATTTAATTGTAAGTATTTATTTTTGTACCCCGCCTTTTCTTTTCTATTTTCCTGATAACCACTCCGTCTCCCTTTACTGTTATTAGTTGCTCTTGTTTTATTTTCGATTGACAGCATCCGTTAAGAAAAAGCACGTGGCCATACAGTCTCCTGATAAGAGCTGATAAGCTGCCCCACTTTTCATCGAATTTGCATTGTCATTATGCATGTGCCCCTCTACGACAGAAATAAATCTAATATTTTCAGCGAGATTAACTCATAGGTATTTGATTCTGCGCGCAGCTGAGAAATGTACTACTATTTGCCCACTTTGGAAGCTATAGCTCGCTTTGACCTTCGGGGGTCAAAGCTTTTAATTACGCTCGCACGTATAAGTTTTTATATGTACTTTTCCGGAATGATTTGCAAATCGGTTTTAAAAAGACACATACTGAGACAACAAAAAGTACAGTTTGGGGGACAGATAAGGGCAGAGGCTTTGGGACCACATTGTGTGTTTGTTGATATTTGAAATACAATTGCAAATAGTAAATACAAAGATTAATCCCTGTGGGTAGAGTAAACAATTTGAATATATATATGCTAATTTAAAATGTAAAATAAACCCCTTCCTCTGAATCTCGGCCCGAGTTTCAAGAGCTTTCCATTAAAACAATCTAAAGTGAAGTGCGATGTCGAAGGTGTTTCCCTTTCCCAGTCTGGCCAAGTTCATTTCCCCCTTGGGAGCAACGAGCTGAGCGGCAGCGAGAGGGCTCAAAGGGGATGCCTTTTAGCCCCCGTCTCTTGGTAATTTCAGTAATTCTGGCCAGACACAAAAACAAACACAATCAAGTGGCAGCAGTAGGCAGAAGGCTAATTCGTTTTCATTTGGCGCTATGAAAATATTTAATTGCAATTTCGTCAAGTAGCGTGAGCTGGCGGAGAGTTTTTGGTAACTTTCTTAGTGCACCGAGCCGAGGATGTGCTCCGGCACCGGCGGGTGGCATTGGGGCAAAGGCGGGCCCAGCGTGGGGTAGGTTCGCAAGCGCAGCAGCTCCAAGATCGTCTGCAGCTCCAGTACATGGGCGTAGTGACGGCGCACGTTGTCCATCAGCTGCCGATGGGTCTTTATTTGCAACATTCTGCAGGGAAGGGAAGAAAAAATGTAACCAAAAATTAATAATAGTTTTAAATTTAGAGTTGGGAAGAAAAAATGTTTTTAAATTAAAATATATATTTATTAAATATATTTAAAACCACATGAAGTAAAAATAAAAAAAATGTAGGGTGTATGCTGATTATCATTATTTGGGTTTGAGGTCCTCTTTTTAGATGCTTCTTTTATCAATTTAAAATATTAAAGAAATAATCTTTAAGGTCTTAAATTAAAAATTTGAAATATTTTTAATCTAATTCAGTGACCATGCTAGATTGATGCTGATTAAAAATATATAAAATTTATAAGGTGGGAAATTATAATTCCCTGCAAGGGTATACTAATTAAAGAAGCAACAAAATTTGAGTTAATCTAAATAATAAAATAAGGAAAATCATTATTAATGCTTAAAATTATGCCGAAACTAAATTAAATTTTTTTAAGTATACCCTTAGAAATACCAAGCTTAAAGATTTCTGCCGGTGCCCAACAGGTTATCTTACCGTTCGCGCTGCTCGCGATCCCGCTTCTCCTCCATCATGGTGTCGCGGAAGGAATTCTGGAGTGTGACGTCCACCTTGATCCGCTCTATCTTGAGGTCTATGGCGTGGCTATTCTGCTTCACCTCCAGGGTCTGGGCCTTCACCGTGTCGATTTTGAGGTTTCTGGGATGGCAACAGGTTTGTTTTCAATCCGGAATCGTTATTGATTATATGAACCGAGGGGGGCTTACATGCGTTCGATGTGCTTCCTGAAAGCGGCGATCTTCTGTTCGATGACCCGTTCGATGGCCGTGGCTATGAACTTTTGGCGATCTGTCTTGATTTTGTCCCAGTTCCGCAGGATGGTGAGAAACTCCAGCGAGACCTTGCACCGCTCGATGGCATCCAGCATGTACTTCAAATATGCTATGTTGGCCTTGTACAGCTTGTGCTCCCACTCCTTAAAGATCACCTGGCGCCGGAAAATGGCCACACGCTCCATGGCTTTGATCTTCATGTTTCCGGCTTCCTAGATGTTTGAGTTGATCGGGGAAGTCACTCGTTTAGCTACTTATATTACTGGGCGAACCCACCTGTATCTGCCGATTCACATCGTTGATGTCGTCCACGTGCATGAGAACCGTGTTGGACAGGTTTGTGAACTCGCCCATCACACTGACCTCCACCTGGCCCATCGAAAGGGTCACCTGGAGCGTCATATTCCGCATTCCCTCCAGCTGTAACAATAGTGAGTTTCAGAGTGAGCCTAAAAGTATACTACGTTTATGGCGAACTACTCACGTAATGCTGGATGCTCTCCTGCCAGCTACGCTGCGTCTCCTCCTTGGACTCGCGCAGCGCCGCAATGCTCTTTTGGAGGAGGCTGTAGAAGGTCTGACTGTCCAGCAGCTGGTAGCCGATGCCCTTCAGCCTCATCTCGTTCTCCAGCTTCTGGCGACGGAGCTTGACGAAGGTGTCCCAGGTCTTTGAGTCCACCTGCGGCGGACACTGTTTAGGCTGGTCGAATTCGGCGAGGTGGTTGAGGAAGTCCTGGACGTCGGTGGGCAACGGAAACGGGGTGCGCTGGCTGGGCTTGCCGCTCAGCTTATTGGAGGCCTCCATGCAGATGAGCACCGAGTTGAAGACCTTGGGCGGAAGCTTGGGCCGCTTCTTAAACAGCTTGGTCATCTCGTGGGTGGCGTGCGGCACCGTCGGTAGAAAGTTGCTGCGGAAGTGCCGCTCTACGGCGCGGTCACGGGTCTGCTGGGCCTCCAACCGGGCCTTTACATCCGCCACGGATTTCTCCCAGAAGTCGGAGAGCTGACCAATGCGAATGATTAATTCGTTTAATTTTCCCACATCACGGCTGAACAGCCCGATCCGCTTGCGCAGCTGCACGCGGCTGAAGTTGGTCTTCTCCAGCGTGAGCAGGCGCAGCTGGCTCTGCTTGAGCGCGAAGTCGTACTTGAGCTTCATGATCATTAACTCGGCCACGCGCTGGTTCAACTTTAGGATCTGGGAGGACTTGAGAGCCAGCGTCTTCTCCTCGTTTTCGTGCAGGATGCGGAGGTACTTGCGGCGGTCCAACTCCAGCAGACGCACCGCCTCCTCGTAGGCGCGGAATATCTTCTGCTCCTCGAGATTGTACTCGTGCGGCTGCTTCTTTGCCATGAACTCCGGCTCCGGTATGTTCTTCTTGATCTCCTCCTCCCAGAGCTTCTCCAGCACGCCATCCATCATCACGATGAGGGCCCGCGACCAGAACTCTTTGCTCCAGAGGAGAAGGCGACCCTTCTTGCCGCCGGTATCGATGGTCTTGGGCTTGCGTCGATTGATCGCCTTGATTTCTGAGTCGTCCACCTCCATGATCCGCTTAATCATCTCGTCCTGCTCCAGCGCTGGCACAGTGAGATCAGGCTTCGTAAACTGCTCCATGTTGAGCAGTCGCAGCATGATGTTCATGTTGTCGTAGATCTTGTAGAGCACCACGTTCGTGTTGAGCACGTTGTCAATAGTGGCCTGCTTGAGCTGCTGGGCCTCGTGGAAGTACTTGTTGAACTCTTGCTTGAGCGGGTCGCTCAGGTAGTAGCGGATCTTGCAGTTGTAGTTAAACACCTGGTTGGAGGTCACCATGTTCTTGTCCTGCAGCTGGAAGACGGGCGCCATGATGTGCTCGTACACGCTGCTCCCCTGCACCACGAACTGCTTGAGCTCTTTCAAGCCCTGGGGGCCCTCATCCGCTTCCTCCTCCTCGCCCAGCTCCATGTCCTCCACCCCCGGAGGAGGGCCGTGGCTCTGAACCTGGCCTGCAGGCGGCTGGAACTCCTCCTCGTCCATCGAGACCTGAGAGAGGCGTATATGGTCCTCCAGGTCGTAGAAGCGATAGAGATCGAACTCGGTCATCTCCAGCTTGCGCCGAAAGGCAAAGCTCTCGAAATTGGCGTCGGCAAAGATGGAGCGCACCCGGTAGTTGATGCTGACCGCGTCGCGGGTCACTAGGCGCATGATCCAGTCGCGAATACGCGCCTGGTCCGCAATGGCCTCCTCCAGCGAGGCGCGCTCCAGGGCGCACAGCTTGTGCGCCTCCTCGGTGAGCCGGTCTAGCCAGCTGTAGTGGAAGCAGAACTTTTTGAAGATGCCCTTTGTCTTGCCGGTCTTGGAGATGTCGTAGTCGATCAGCTCCGTCACCTTGGCGGAGAACTGCTCAATCATCTTGAACAGCTTTTGCTGCTTGAGCAATTCCGCGGGAGTGTACTCCTCCTTCACCTCCTGCCGCATGCTCAGCGGCATGAACATGTCCACCTTGTGGCACGCCTGGTCGACGTAGTAGGGACCGCTCTCCTCGTTGGGCAGCGGCAGGGCCTGGTTGTCCCGCACAAAGTCCGCCAGCGAGGGCAGCCGCGTCACCCGCAGACTCTTGTCGGCCAGCAGAATGATCAGGTATCTGAGGGGATACGGAATGAAACCAGGTCTTAGGTTCTATCTCTCCCAGTTCAAGCCAACTCACTTTGAATTGAAGCACTCTCTGACCCGCAGGATGTACTCGGTCTGCAATCCGACGTTGAGGTAGCGGCAGACCATGAACGGCTTCTTGGACCGCTTGTGCTGCTTGAAGTGAACGAGAATGCCCCCGAGGCTCCAGGTGACCAGATGCTTGGTCATGCCCAGGCCAAGGATGTAACTAAAGTGCTCCGACTTAGTGGAGGCCACCCACTGCACCTCGTCGCGCTCGTTCAGCGTGAACTGATCAAAGTTTAAGGTGTTGTACTCGGAGGCCACGATCTCGATCAGCGCCCATCGGCCCACCGGCGGCTGGACACCGATGTAGTTGTATTGTTTCGGCAGAACATACTCGCGGCGATGCAGTCGCCGGTCCTTGCCCCAGGTGAGGACCCAGAGCTCGGTGGCGTAGCCTGGACGTTTCATCTTCGGGTCCCGGTGGATGAAGACCATAAGACGCGGGCCGTCGGCCAGTAGGAATGTGTGCACGAAGACCTCCTCCAGCACCGGCAGGCTCATCTCGAAGTAGTGAGTCAGCTTGTGCGGCCTGTTTTCGACCTGGACCACCTGCAGCGTGCGGCTCTGGTCCTGGAATACCAGCCAACTGTCGTTTAACTCCAGGGCCACCACGGCTGGCGTCGCCGTCTGGAGCTCACAGAGCACGTGCGGCAAGGCGGCCCGCTCGAAATGGACAAGCACGATGCGGGAGTCTAGGGTGCCAACGGCCACGATGGCCTGGCTGCGGTGATTGGCCATGACGCAGGCCCATGGCACCATCACCTCGCTGAGTGTGTGGCCCTTGGCCAGGTCCATCATGGCCAGCCGGTCGCTGTACAGCACGCACACACTCTCGTCCTTCAGGCCGGGCAGCACCCGGAAGGAGATCGCCGGCATTCCCGTGGGCACTACGCACTCCAGCGTCACCGCTCCGGACTTGTCCACCACCACCTGGTCGATGTGGCCTGGCCCACGCTCGGCATACAGCTCGCCGTTCATGTTGCTGAGGAAACGGGTGACGTCCTGCAGAAGGCCCTCCAGCTTCCACTCAAGCTGCAGGAAATCAGATTCGATTAATTTAATCTCTACCGATAGATAGCTAGGAACAGTGAACCCACGTGAAAGGAGCCCGACTTTTTCTTCACGAAGTAGGCGTGTGAAGTGTTGGAGATAACCAGCCCGCCGCGGTGGGCAGCGATAGAGTGGGCATAGGGAGCCGCTACCTGATCTGTCTCGTAGATCGGACGCCACTGGGGCTTCAGGGCGAAGGCGGCCAATTCCACAAGGAACATGTTTCCAAAGTCGTTGACCACGTATAGGTGGTCATCATCGGCGAAGGTGAGGAAGCGATCGTTGCCGATAGACTTGATGAAGTCGTTGCTTATTTCCAGATTCATTACCTTGTGCAGGTAGGACTCTTTTTCCATGGTGCAGATTTCATAGTTCAGGATGGTCTTCTCCTGCTTGTAGAATTGCACGATGCTGGGCAGCGTGTTGTAGCTCAGTACAAGGCTACGCGGCACAGTGGACACCCCGGTGTTTTGTTTCAGGATCAGGACGGCGGTGCGGTAGTTGAAAACGGCTACCGGAAAATGGGGGTGTCCGCCAACACCGATCAGCGTATCAAATTCCGAGAATCGGATATCCGAGTAGGTAATCATTTCGGCTGCCAAAGAAGGGTGCAGAGATTGTTTGATCTACTCAAGGCAAGCCACCTCCCTGCTACTTACGGGGAATGACGCTGAACTTGGTGAAGTCCGGATAGCGGTAGACATAGATTTGGGGCCGCAGGACCACCTCGGCAAAGGCGAACAGCGGAAAGCGATTGTGGCCAGTAAAGACGCTGATGCTCAGTCCGGTGGCCGCCGTCTCCGCCTTGAAATAGCTGACGGCTTTTGTCTGCATGTTGATGAATTTGATGGTGTTGCCATTGCGCAGGCACAGGACATCTGGGCCCACGTTCCAGAGGGTGTCCTTGTCCCAAATGTTGCACCAGCTGTATGATATGGCCAGGTCATATATCAGCTTTGCGTGGATTTCGTTTAAACTCACCAAACTGTCGAGGTAATGTTCATGTTGATCCGCTTCGATGCCGACGAGTTGTTCGACTGACTGCCAGTCGGATGGTTGCTAGGATGCTTGATTGTTGGCACGAGTTTGTTTGGTTTCCTTGGAGTTCTGTTCGATTTTTTTTTATGTGTTTTAGACATACAAAACAGACAAAAATAAATAAGACTAACAACTAAAGCAATTCCTTAACTATTTCTCCAGATTTAATTAGGTATCAAAGTTAGAGTTATGATCTCTGTATTGTACTGCGTCACGTTCAAGTGCCAATGCAATAAGGGAGCCATTTTCCCCATTTTCAGTCTCCAAATTTCCCAGGCGACCCGTGGAAATTGTCCTCTGACTTTCCCGTAATTGTACACACAATAAAAAAGAGCCCGACTATAAAAACCTTACGCCTCAGACAGCCGCCGCCTTCGGCGCAATTATATTTGTTTGTTTTTTCCCTGGCTGAACGTTACTTTAAAATTTGATGCGGCTTGTTATTTTTATTGCCAAAGCGTTATGGTTAATGGGGTTGCCTTTTTTTGGCTGACGCTAAGCGGTGATAGGTAATTTTTTTAGGGCTCACCCGGGTGTCGTTGTTTGTGTTTGCGGTCATTATTAAATTTCAGCCAATTTACAGTTTATATTTCAGGACATTGCAGTCGAGGCTTTAAGGAAATAATTATATAGAAAAATTCAAATAGAAATGAAAACAATACATGGCAACCGAAAATAATAAGTCTAAATTAGTTTAGAAATAGGCTTAAACGCACATAAATTAAATCACTCGGCCATCGATTTATCCTTCGCGCGAGGCAATTAAAAACATTTTAGCACAGATTTTCATTTACACGGGGCCATAAATTTCGTTAAAAGCCCGAAATATGTTTAAATAAAATCGCAAAGCCCGGCTCAGCAGCGACAACAAATGGCTAACAGCAAATAGAATACATGTATAACTGGGCCAACAGCGGAAATGGTCTTTAGGCAGCCAGATTTTGGCCCAGATTTGTTTGCTGGCCACATAGAAACTAATTTGCCGGGTTTACTATTTAAATTTGTTAGGCATTCCCGGCACTTAAACAAATTAGTTTGAAAAGCCGGCCCCGAATTTAATATTAATGTTTGGATTTCCCCCTTCGAGGAGAAATGCTAATGAATAAAGAAATGGGCAATCTCGGCGACCCATGTGGGCTGTGCGGACGGAGGAGCCTGCGAGGACTCGTTGGGTCAAAAGGACAGCCCCCTATGTTGGTTCCTTGCCAGACGCTTAGCCATCTGCCAGCCAATTGTGTGGCCTATTCTGGCGCTGCCGCTTGTTGACACGACGCGACGACGGCAGGAAGGAAGGAATTTTCAGCACATCAGCGCAATCTTTTCTACAAAGTTGCCTTTTTTTATGAGGGTCGCTACCTGTAGAGGATTTGCCGTGTCCCGTGTCGTGTTCTCGTTGACGTCGCCTGGCCTTTATAAAATATTTATTGCAGCCAGCTCGGTGGTGACGAGACCCAGTCCCAGCGGCGGCTTTTGGACTGCCATCCGACCCCCCGGGTGGGGTTATTAACATGTTAAGCAGATAAAAAGAAAATGGTGAGAAATGGCTGCTTTTGAATGCTCCTTAGAATGGGAATTTCTAGCTATCGACCGAATGCTTTCACAATACCTACATTTACAATACCACAAAATATATAAGTAAATATTTTATGCATATTTATTTTGTGATTTTTTAACATTAAACGATTTCCCTCATCTGGGGTCCGTCTGAGACCTCTGACCTGAGGGCCATTTGTCGTGATAACTCATATCTCAACCCTGTGACATTATCTACATATGCACATACATCCCGGCACAATTATCAGATGACATAACTCTACAGCCGACGCCGCCAGCTGATGCACCGTGTTGCCCCGGGCAGAGGACGAACGGACGGAGGTTGAGTGCTACTTATGGCACAATAATGATTTACATTGCATAGTTAATGCGTTTTTAATGAGGGCCTGCATAACGTATTAAAAAGTTTGGGTGCAGCGGCGAAACTTGTCACCGGGTCTTGGGGATTCCCGGCCCTGGCACAATGGAAACTTGGCTGTCTTGCCGCAGAGCCGCCTTAAGCGTTTGCCAAACTTCTGCGGCAACGGGTTCTCGGCGGGGACTGGGAGTCATTAACATTAAAGACATTCCCAACTGCCGACGTGGTGCAGAGATGGCGAAAAAGTTCGTTCCTCATATGAGAGGACAGGCCGTACTCCATCGCCGCAGCACTGCAGGGGCACATAAATAATTGAGTGGCGCCCCAAAGTAGGCAGCCAAGTGCAGGCGGCATGCGGAAGCTGCAAGCTGCAAACTGCAGACAGCAGGTGCGGCCAACGGATGTTAAATAGGGTGGCTCACAGGGGCGGGTGGTGTCTAACAGTGGGTGGAATTGTGCCTCACATTGGGTGGGTGGTGGCAAGCTACTTGGTTATGCGCTGGCTGCGGGCTGCCTCATTCACTTAAGTGGAGAAGCCGCAGGCTTGCTCTTGATATTTGGTTTTCTATTCGTTTAAGAATATATTGACTTAAATTAAGAGCAAATCAACAAAATGCAGCTAAAGGAAAAATTAAAGCTTCAACAATTTCAATTTTAGTTATGGAAACCCTATAAGATCCCCAGAATTATCTTCCAACGAGTTGTTTATGAGCCACTCGTCATCTCCCATCGCCTCTTTGGTCTGGCAGCTGATTATAATGTGCTGCTATGCATGCCGAGAGCCGTTGACGCGCAACTCGTTAAATTTCCATCAGGGTGCGTGTTGTGCACCATATTGCCCCTAAATGTCAACCAACTTTCAGAGGAGAGGGCTGGTGCTTCGCTCCGGCAATGAACTGTGATGTCCTCACGTATTCGCATGATATCGATTTGACTTACAAAACCCATACCCAGGCATACACACACTCGCTTAGCTGTCACACATGTCCGTAATTGATATTTTATGAATGAAATGTAAACACTTTTTTTACGATGCCGGCCAGAAAGAGTGTGACATTGGGTAGAGCAACTATGAAATGGAAGAGAAAGCAGTCATTGATTTGACAAAAATATTATTTACAACTTACTTTAAACCTAACTACAAAAAACCTAGTGGCTAGGACTTATTAAATCTGATATAATCTATTTAAAATATATTAAAACAAAATTAAAAATATTTTTATTCTACAAATTACATTAGGCATAAATTATACTATATAGAAATCTGTACAACTTTCAGTTAAATAGAACATTATGACCACAAAATGTTTTCAGATACTGAAAACTTTATTGCAGTTTTTAATACTCGAGAAATTTTTTGAAAGCATTTCCTGTTTCGGTCATGTGTGCGCTTCCCCAGTGTCCAACCAGTTCGGAGCTTCAAAGTTGTCAAAAACGAAAGAATTACCCAACTGCCGGGGTCCAGAGCGCTCGTCAACGCCTTTTGGCCCGCACACAATTGCCAGACTACATATAGCCATAAAAGGCCGAGAGCCGAGAGCCGGCGAGCCGTAAGGAGCTCTCCAAAGCACTTTCATACCGATATGTGTATGCCATTAAACTCCGCATGCCCCGAGCTCTTAACCCATGAGGAGCAGCTTGCATTTATACAAATATTGCATAAAACATACAAACACTCTTTATATATGTTTTCAATTCATTTGCACATTAACAAGAAATGTGGGGAGTGGAAGGGGAGAAAACTGAAATTGTTTATTATACAAAGGCAATTTATTGATGATGTCTTTTAATCGAGTGTTTTCCCACCGGTTTGTTATCACTGAAAACGTTTATTTTAATTATTCGAGTTTTGCATGCATAACAAAAAATGTAGTTTGTGATTTTTCATCTTGCTTTTATTTCATATATTTACTTTATATTCACTTTATTTCGAACTATGCATGCCAAACTCGACACATCCTGCTCTCTATGTCTTGTTGGGCGGCCAACAGTGCGTATGATTGACGTAGTAGTAACCAATTTATGAGCTCAATTGAATTGTGTATTGTGATTTTTGCGTAAAATATTCTCCTTATGCTCTTATTTGATTTTGCGCCATCTCAGTTATTGCCTTTCAAAACAGAATAACATCGAGAATCTATCTTGGGCGAATCTGTTTTGTTATCACAAGTGTGATAGATTTGACAATGTGTACACTCGAGATATGTCTTCTGAATATATATTCGCGTATCTGCCACAAGGCGTGGCAGCCGTGGTATATATCTGTCACTGACAAAATCAGACCGGACTTGTTGTTTAAACTGCCGCTGGCATATGCAGGACCACTACACAATGATATATGATCTGGCTTGGAGGCACAATTACCCAAAGACACAGATCTGCGCGCCGAGAAGTAGGCGAAGTAATTCAAATGTGCCTGCCATAAATCACTTGCAATGCGTTCCGGCTCGAAACTGGGGGAAATCTGTTTGCAGATAAGCTGAGCGAGAACTGGCAGAGCCTTATTGAATCTATAGTCTATTTTAGCAGGGGGTTCACAAAGGGAACAGAGCTTTTCTATGTATATATATATATATATATATATGGATATATATGGGGGTCTAAGGGGCTGCACAGGAACAGAAACATTTAAGATTCAGCGAATGAATGTGACACATTTCTAAGTACACTTAAACATGCGTATTTAATGTCAATTTTAAGAACTAAATTTAAAGAAACAGATATTCTCTTTTATTTAAATGATAAAACCTATATGTAAATTAATATTTAAATAAAATTAACTCTTTCAGATCTCGTTTTATTTACTGTGCACCTTATCCGCCGGCAAACAAGCTACTCATCAGCCTTGGCAATCTAATCTTCATGCCGTGGAAATCTCTGTTCGCTCATTTCGTTAGGCAAATCTCTAATGTTCTCTTCATCAGCCGATTCATTCAAAATTCATCAATGGGGCATAAAAGTATGCTGCAGCAAAAATGCCAAATATCTTCGATAGGTGCCGGGAAAGTTGTCAACGTGTGGCACGTTCTCAATTGCCAATGTTTCTACAGGCAGCCACCATTGTTGTTCTTGTTGTTGTTGTTTTTGTTGTTGTTGTCATCAGCATAA